TTAACACACTAAATATGATCTTATTTTCCATTTTAAACTACTTTGAAGTAAAATCGTCTCCAAAAAATACGTTATGATGGCGTTTGACGCGGTATATGAACTGTTTTGAAGTTTATGCAAATTACTTCTTGATAATGTAAACTAATTTTTCTAAATTATATTTTTCAAAACTATATTTCTTTTTTTTTTTTTGTTGTCTTGAAATAACTTAAAATTTTCTATTTTAATATATCTGATCTTCTTAAACAGCCCAAACTAAGGAAAATAGTCAAAACGCAATTTATCTACCACGACGAAATGAACAATGAGTGATTTTAATAATACGAAATCCAAGATTTTAGTTAATTTGGTAAAAATGTCCGTATTCAATTAATTTAGATATGTCCAAGCGAAAAAGGCCCCATAAAATACAATGTTATGATGCGTTTGGCGAGGTATATGAACTGTTTTGAAGTTTATGCAAATTACTTATTGATAATGTAACTAATTTTTCTAAATTATATTTTTCAAAACTGTATTTCTTTTTTCATTGTCATAAAATAACTTAAAAACTTGCCAAAAAGCATCTATTTTGATATATCTGATCTTAAACGGCCCAAACTATAAAGGAAAATAGTGAAAATACAGTTTATCTACCACGACGAAATAAACAATGAGTGATTTTAATACTACGAATTCGAAGTCCAAGATTTTAGTTAATTTGGTAAAAATGTCCGTATTCAATTRATTTAGATATGCCCAAGCGAACGTTTAGAAAAATTTCTCGCTGTAATCGCGCCTAAAGACGATTCGCCTCCTCCGTCCCTTCCTACCCCTCCCCTCAAAGCGCTGCTACGCAGACTATCTAAACGTTCGCTTAGACATATCGAAATTTTAATTGAATGTCAACTTTTGGAGCTCTTGTAGCCTGGTTTTCCATGTTGTGTTGAAGAGAGGCATGCCTTAGTGGGTCGCCAAGGCTAAATTTTACAGGGCTTTCATATATTTTGCTACGAAGTTGTCTTTAGGCGCGATTACGCGGAGCAATATTGCGCTGTTGTATCACCGTTGCGAGTCAACATGTAAGCTCGTGCTAAATATGGGATGGACCATTAGAGACGGGCATTTTGGTTGCATGATATTTATTTTTTTGGGCTCAACCCTTGCACGTTAT